GGTCAGGGCTTTAGGATTGGTTTGGGCTGGGATTTTTTGCAAAGGTAGGGAGAAGCATTTTGAGGTTGGCTGAACCAGGCTGCTCACCTTAAAAGCTCGCTCTCAGCAGAGATGTTAAAGCTTCAAAAGTTCTCATGCAGGGGAAAAACTCTGGTTTCCCTAGAGAATCAGAAACACCAACTGACAGGATCCAGGTAAAGCAGGCCTCCTATTGAGAGGATCAGACCCACTCTTTGGGAGCACAGCCCCCCAGAGAGGTGGAAAGATATGCCAGACTGACAGTAGGGTTTTCACTTTCTTTAACTAGATCCAGGTATTAATAGGAATTCCTCTGCATTTGGCAGAAATACGAAAAAAAAGTGCAGAGAAACTCAGAGGTGGGTGTTCAAATTTGATCATTACTTACCTAGCAAACACGCTTTACAGAGCCTTCTCCTGTAACCTGTACCTGTTTGAACACTCTTGTTACCTTCAGGAGGAATTAGAGAAATAAGACTTCCTGCATAGCAAGTTCAAATTGCACCTTGGAAGACTTAGATATTAGGAAATGCTCCATACCCCTAAGGATGTTAAGCAATGGTGTTGATTCCCTGGGGAGCGTTGCAACTGCAGATTTTTAACAACAGGTTAGAAAAACATCTGCTAAGGCTGATTGGCTGGCAAAGGCGGCATATCCTGCACCGAAACAGGCAGATGAATTCCATAAACTTTGGAGGTGCCTGTTAGACCTATTTTAGCATGTTTTCCAAAGTCAGTGAGGCAATGGCTCTCCATCCCAGTTTGCCAGCTCTTAGTAACTTCTGACCAACTGGGTGAATTTCAACCAACTTTGAGAGAAGAGTACAGACAGCAAAAAATATTAAGTTCCTACATATTTCAAGCAAATATGGATGAATAAAGGAGAACAAGGAAATTAACATCTTCATCAGTTTTTAATGTGGTCCCATATACTTTTGGAGAGGCAACAGCCCTAGCTCCTGTGGCTTTGACTAGCACAGGGTGCACACAAACCTGCGGGAAACCAAACTGCTTCACACTTCAATGCAGGTGAACAATACACATGAAGTCAGAGTCAAGCTTTCTGGATCTGTGCCGGCCTGCCCAGGCAGCACGTTCAGAAACAGCGTTTGCAAACAGTTCCGTAACACTCAGACAGAAAAGATTTTTGTTTATGTAAATCCATTTCCATGCATGATTTTCCAGCACGCAGAAGATGAATCATCAATACCCAAAGAGGACTATTATGGCAGTGACTTACTAACCACAACAGGTTATCTGGATTTTTCCCTGTATTGATGAGGTGAAGTAAGGCAGATAGCTTAGAAATACGGTAGGGTAATCCTTACCAAGCAGCACCAAAAGCAACCAAAAATCCTATAACTGCTCGTTAATGAGCTTACTATCATACCAAGACATAGTTCAACAAAATTTCTATTTCTGCAAGGCACTTTATTTCCCCCTGTCTTCTACAATATCCTCTGGGGAAATCTCACTGAGCATCCAGAAGCAATGAGTATTTTAGTGTTTGTCTTTGTGCAGGTCTTAACAGCACTATAGGAAATCCAAGTTTGGAAAGGAGCAGGTGTTTTCTTGATTTCAAAGCACATAATCCTAATGGAAATATGACAAAATCTAAATGCTCTACAGGACTTTTCTACAGTGCCTGCAACATTTTTATCAGAATCGTCACAGAAGAGACAGTGATTAACCTTCATCTGTATTCTGCTTTGCAGCTGCACCAGTAACTCTACCTCATACCAAAGCTGAGGAATACTGCTTGGAGCAAGAGACAGCATGGAGCTGTCCATAACCTTGCCAAACTTAGAGTCACTGCACTGGAATATCCTGTATTTTGGTACAATAAATAAAGACAAAATGTCTCAGCCATTTCTAAGGAGCAGCTTAATGCTTTGAGACAGGACATGAAATGCTGAGCTGTCAAATCTGGGGATCTCCAAACTGGACTTCTGGTCTACCTTGCTCTAAGAGGATTGTGCCAGTTTGAACGGTTTTATAATGGCTTGTATACAATGTATGTGAAAACAAGGTCATGAAACCAAAGCTAGAGAGATCAAATTTCCCCATGAATGTGCCAGGAAACACACAGGACAAATTCACCAGCAGCTATGTAACCCTGGGAAGAGCTCCCAGAGGGACTGCAGGAGTAAATTATGAAGTACACACGGACAGCCACTCTTCGCCTCCCTTCTTACCAACTCCAGCATACACACTGACACCTGTGCTTGCCCATACCTTTGACAGAATAAATGAGGTGCAAAATTTATCTTTTAAACTGGCTTTCTAACAAGCATGGTTTTCAAGTGAAAGTAGATAAATTAGAGGGCAAACATAAACAGGGAGGCTTGGTCTACCTCCAAAAGCCTTCTCTCACAGAGGTGCTCCAAGATACTCAGGGGCTGCAATGTGGATTTTCCACAACATGTCAAGGAGTGCTCTAAAGGCTGGTCATGAAAGTGCTGCCCATGCTACAAAAAAAGCTTCCCTGGGAAATGTTAGTGTCCACTTAGCAAGCAGTGAGCCATGGAGAAGGGCATATGGATTTGAGACTTGTGCCCATGACACTGATCTTTGTGTGGCCCTAATTTTATGCCCATTTAAAAAAATCTAAATGCTATTACTTCTTGAATGCTGCTTGATCAGAAGCCCTTCTACTTCATATCAAACCTTGATTTTAAATGTAGGCAACTGTTTTCTCGTTTCGGAGAAATACACAAAAATGTGAAGCTAAAAAACCCACAAGGAATCTAATAATAAATAGGGCAGCGATGTAAACAAATGGATACCTCCTGCCGTGCAACGGTTCACAGCTATTGTATCAACAAGTTGGTGTTACCTTGGAAACAAGAGATTGCCCATACATGCCTTCCCCCAGATGGAAACCAGGAAAGGAGGCAGGCAGAATTGAGCTTCAGCCTTCTGGACCTTGTGGAGTTACTCCCCAAGTGTTGATGCCAATCGATCCCAATCCCAACTATTAATGAAAATTCAAAGGCAGTGCAGAAGTTGCACCATCCCTAACGCAATGTCCACAGCGATGAGGGTGAGCACCTGGCCATTTCATCCTCTACACCTTGGGATAACACAACCTCTTTTCCAGAAAGCACAGAAAGGTTACTGCCTGGAAATACTCTGTACACAGTAGATGACAACACAACCTTTTCTGATTTGCAGCAGCAAGGAGGGCTAACAGCAATGGCCTGGCACAACATCAAATGGCTTTAATAAAATAAGCTTAAACTAAGATGTTGGACCCCATCGCTGAGGCAGATTAAGAGCATGTATACACACGAGGTTTGTCACACGGGCTCTCTGTGTGAGTGGGAGTTTGTTACAGTTCTGCCACTTGATTGCATTCAAGTGTGTGCTCATATCTTAATAAAACAACCCTGTAGTTTTTGAGGATTTTTCCTGCTTTTTCTTAATAGGAATGATAAAGTGCATCGATCCCACTCCCTGGTAGATTCAGTCTAATGCATTTGTATGCAGGTTGTCTTGGTCTGCCTCAGAACACAAGGCACAGCAATTCTTGGGGTTGGGGAGTGCTCAGAGCTGCCACCCTGAATGCTGCAGATGGGTTCTTGGCTGCTGTCTTGAGCCGGGCATCTCACCCTGGTGAGCATCAGTGAAGCTCTGTTAGGAACAGCTAAATGTTTGGCCCGTGGAAAATTAATTGGCTGGGTTTACACATACAGCTATAACAGAAAGGATAATTCCCTAGTAAGTGTTGAATTGTGAACAAGTAGAAATTTATACTAATATATATTCAGTGTCACCTAAGATTACAGGCCAACATTTCAGATAACCCAATGGTCTGAATGTATGAAATTCAGAAAAGTGAGGGTTACACTACATTAAACAAGATAATAATAAGTAGGAGTAATATTGATTTTTTTTTTCTAAAGAGTTTAAACAAAAAAAAAGGGTTTGTAAATCAACTGATCATGAAATTGGTACTTCCCACAACCCAGCTGGTTTGTTGGAATTTGTAAGACACTGATGTTCCCGTGCAAGTCCTTTTGCAGCACTCTGGGCTGAAATGTAGGGCTATACAAACAGATTAAAAATATACAGGGAACTATTCTTCCCACACTGCCAGCAGAACAACTTCTAAGGACATCTCCATGCCTGGACAGTACCAATAGACAAGGGACTGGCATAGTCCCCAAGGGCTTCCCGTAGGGTATTTAACCCCAGAGCTGCCTCTCTCAGATGCTCCAGGCTTCCCTATGGCACATCTGTCTCTTCCCACCTGTGATTTATCCCTCTGCCCTGTCTGTATGCTCTGCTTTTGTTTGAGGTGACCTCATAATTGAAAAAGAGACAGAGTAGAGCTGGTAATAGGAAATTTTAACTTCAAATCATGTTTTTTAATTGATTTCAGAAAGAGAATTAAAAAAGCACCATAAACATCTGCCTGTCACTTCCCTCCCAGGTAGAAGTGATGGGGGGATCAGGTCAGCCACAGTGTATCATGTACCTGATGGGATCCTGATCTTCTGAGGCTCAGAGGGGAAATATGGGGAAGGAGAGGGGCTCTGCTGAGAGAAATGTGTCAAGAATGTGATGAGTTACTGCTGCTGCTGAGATGAGCATGATGCTTTCTTGTAAATCCAGCACCCATGCACACAGTGGCATCTCAGGTCACCTCTCAGTATAAACCAGGTATTTGTTGAGTCACAGAGAACTAAACTCTGTCAACTCCATATGTATGGAGCCCGTTCCAATTCCCTTAACATCTCCTCTTCACTCTGGTTTGGACTGGATGAGGCTATTCACAAAACACCTTAGTTCCCAATCTCACAACAACCCAGCCCATCATGTCTGGAGATCAATTTTTAACCACCTTCTGAGGATTCTTCAGACTACAGCACACAAGACAAATACCTCCCATGTATCTCATCTTTTGGGTTAAAGAACAAAAGCAGAAAAAGAAGAGTTGAAAATTTTGACACAGAAACTTCATTAGGTTCAGTACTTACAACTGCATGACCAGATATAAATGATTCGGACTCTCATAGATGTCTTCCAGGGCAACTATATTTTCATGCTTGATCCTGAAAAAAACATAAGATGAAATAGTGATTTTTATTTTTTTAAGTGGCTGCAAAACATAAAGCTAATTTTAGTTAGACACTACTTGTCAGTGCTTTATTCAACATCATAAAACATGATTTCAACCAAAGTAAACAGTCAGAATTTCTTCACAGCCTGGAATACTGTTGCTACTCACAGAAAATTCCTCCAATCCCCTCTGAAGCTGAACTATTTAAAGGTTAACTATTTGGGAAATTAGAGGTTTACAGTTCCTGTGTCAGATGAATGAAGACGGCTAGTTGGAGACTGAAGTTTCAGGACAGTAGCAAAGCAGAGCGTGAGGGAGTGACAGAGGCAGGGTGCAGCCTGGCAGGGAGAAGGGAGGGATTTGTCTCCACACAGAAGCTGGCACAGGTGGGCAGCAGCCATATGACAGCCCCACGCTCCTTCCCACCAAATTCGCCCTGCTCTGATGTCACACCTGCTCTGGACACGCAAATTCCCCTGCAGCATTATTAAGCACCGTGTGCTTTCTGTGCAACGCCTCCAAGCATCTTCATGGGTTTTCTACACCCTCATCATTCCTACCAATCATTCCCACTAAGCCTCTTGTCAAAATGCTAGCTTTAAAGAGAAAAATCATCTCTACAAGCACACATCTAATTAACGACTAGAGCAACGCTTCTCTGGATTTGCTCCTTAAATGCTTACTAATAATTTCCAAAGGTTACGTTTAACTTGTGCAAACTCTAAAGAGACTACCAGTACAACTCCAGGGGCAGAATATTAATTACACCAATTGCAGACAATCATTTTAAGAGCAAGAGAAAGCTGGGAAATGCTAAGCAGAGACCACTCATTAAACAACAGATGGACACATTCAGAAAGAATGTTAAAATGCATCATCAGCAAATGCAAAACTCTACATGTTTGAAGGTTCAAGTAGCTTAATTAAGTTGCCCTATCATGTGTCAGCACCTCATCCTCAGCGGTCCCAACTGCCCTAACATCTGCATGAAGATGCTGAGAGCAGAAAGTCCCCTGTTCCCAGCATCTTTCCCGTAAGAACGCAGACTAATCTAATTTCCTCCAAATTCACTGGAAGGGTTATGACTGATCTGAATTTATGCCCATAATCAGTCATCAAAAGCTTCATTCATATAAGGACCTTCACACACAGGAAATTCAACATCAACAGTGTGAACTCAAATGTAACACACTACAGGATGTCAGAGCAGCAAACACTTGAGTAGGCGCCTCACTCTACATGAATATCTGGAAAATCCCTTGATATTTCAGTAGAATTTCCAGGTAGACTGTATCACAAATTAATTTTTTAATACTGACAACAGGAAACCTATACAGCACCCACTTGGCTTTACACAATACATGTTTGGAAACCTTTGTTTGGCTGTGCAGGTCTAGTCCTGATCGGGGCAGTTTTGCCTTGTTGAAGTTAGTTGAAGGTACACTAGGATCCCAAATGACATTTCAAGCAAATAGTCACTGTTAATGGAAATTATTATATGTATTTATCCACTTTCCTCTATGCACGTGAACATTCACATGATGATTTGTGTACCTCATATCATCATGGTCAAGAAAACAGTTTTAATACAAATAATCTACTGTAGCATTATCAGTTTAAAGCCTCCAACTTAGTCTGCCATGCCGTTTTTACCACACCCATATTAAGGCTTTGCGTTTCTATTTTTGAGAACCTCAGAGGTTCTTCAGCCAAACCCCCTCTGAGACAGCTGCCAGCAACACCTGACTGTCACACACGTGGCTAATGGGTGGGTTACCCACACAGACAACCAGGGAGGCGGAGGCCAGAAAAGAGCTCATCGGACATGCAACACTGCACACTGAGGGCTGCCACAAGACCCTCTTCCCTTTCTGACTTGCAAACCAAATGGGCACTGCACCACTGGCCTTGCTCTCTGAAGGCAGATAAACTTGCTCGGTTCTAAAGTGAAGGGGTTAGAAAGGGTTTAGTCCTACCACTGCGGGGTCCTCTATGCTGAGCCAGTCTGCCCCTCCTTGAAATCAGGTGCAGGATGTGAGCATGTGGGATTCAGGGAGACAGCGAATATAAAATGTAAGCTGGAAGGAGGCAGCAGAAGGAGCTGGATGACCCCCAAAATACAAAGGGAGCCACTCGCATAGGGATGAGGGCATTTGGAAGATGTCCATTTGGGAGGTGATGCCTGCACACCACTGCTGGTGGTCGCTGGACTCAAGGGGGAGATGGGAAGGAGGCATTTTTTTTCCACTTTCTCTCAGCCTCCCTAAACCCAGCAAGGCCTGAATTGTGGAGTTACAGTGCTTAATATTGGTGAAATGCACATCTCCTGCAAATGAAGCAGCTTGTCCCACACAGCATTCCTCTACTCAGATAGATTCTCAAATGACAAGCTATTTAAAGGAAAATGGAATTCAAAATTTAAAAAAAAATTAATAATAGATGGAAATCACTTGGGCAGAAACCTACGGTGTAGATGGAGTTGCAGGTTGTGTTGTGGAAGCTGGACCAGAGCAGCCGTGGGCTTCCCAGCAGAGGTCACTGCAGCCAGCAGCAGCCGCCCGTCCTCCGCCGCTCACTCCACCCGCAGAAATTCCCGGGCTCCTTTCTTCACTTAAAGCATGACCGAGCGATCGCCCACAACGCTGAGACACAATGATTAACCCTTCAAGGCTGAATACTGTTCACTGCAATAACAGCCCGGGGTTGGGGAAATCGAGTGCGGTATTGTCACAGCATTTTGTCGATACCCCAAAGGCCGACAGGGATTGGGACACGTTCGTCCCACTCCTCTGCGAGCAGATTGGCAGCGCCAGACATGCGGGTGACAGCCAAGCACACGCGTCTGTCTTGCACGGATGCTCGGGTACATCAAGAGCCGAGGAAAGCACTGTGCAGCAGCAACTACTTGATGGTCACGGATCAGGAGAGATTTGGGAATGACTTAATTAACTTTGCTTTTATCCCCCACTAGAAGCGCCAAGTGAATCTCCAAGGTTCAGAGGATTCATCCTGTTAAGCCTCCAAATGCCTTCACACAGCCCCAGCAGTGATCTTGCTTAGCAGAAATACTCACCGGACTATATGATCTCCTCAAGACCTGACAGGATTTTTTTTTTTTTTTAATGTTTTGCTCTCATTTTACAAAAGGCGAAGTGGCGTGCAAAAAAAGCTAGAAGTTCTTCTGTAATCACGTGAGAGGAGGAAGCAGAGGGGGCCAAGAAACCAGGTCCCCTGACTTCAGATCATTATCTTAACCAATGGGCCATATTATTTCAATACCTTCTCCTTCCCATCTCAGTGAGAGGATCTTAACGCCACTTCACTGCAGCCTTTTTCTTCTCTCTGTCCTCCCTCTCCAGCCTCCTCCCATCCCAACGTGTGGCTCCCACACTGCAATAGATAAACCCGACCTGGATTAACTCTGCGTAAAGTAACGTATTGATGTTGTTGTGGTATGTGATGGTGCAACATTATGACTGTAGCGGAGGGGACATGGACATGGACTGGGGTCACAGTAATTCCCATTGTTTCCAAAGAAAGGAGAAAACCCCCAAAAGTGAACATCAAAACATGGGTTTGGTTACAGCAGATTAGATCAGATTACATTTGTCACAAACAAGAGAACATCCAGCTAAGGAAATCTCCCTTACCATCCTTTTAACCTCCCCTTCATTATACTTGCTGTTTTCCCTGATGTTCTCCCTCCTTCCTGGCAAAGCCCCCGGTGCTGCTCACATTTCCCACACCCTGATGTGTTGCCACAAATCCCCACTTCTGTGACATGAAGGGCAGGTGCCACCTCCAGCCACTGCTGCTTTGGAATTCCTCAGGAATATTCAACAGAAAGAAGATGTCTAGAAATAAAAATACAAATAAATAAAGGCTAATACTTTAACCAATTCACTCAGGACTCTTCACCCCACAAGGCCCATGAGATGCTGCAATCCACAGGACAAAGAAGAGGAAAATAAATGTAGAAAGGACAATCGAGGAAATTTAAGTATACAAAAAAACCATGAAGACTGATTAGTCCTGGTAAGAAACTATGAAAAGAAAGGATGGATTCACCTCTTTCAGAGCAGCTTTGGTTTGGATGCCATGCTGCAGGCAGACACAAGACACAGTGCTCGACGCAACCATGCAAAATTATCGAGTTTCCTCTCCAGCCTTTCAGGTCTATGATTCTGCCCCTGTGCTGTTACAAAGGTGTCAACAACACAAATGAATAGAGGCAATGTTACACCTGAGAAATATTTTAATATATGAGCAAATTGCTAACCAAGACTCAAAGGAGCAAACTGAACTGGGCAACCAACACCTTCAGGTGACTTTTCTGATGATGGCAGCTGGGTAAACAAGGGCTGACGGAAGAGCCTTTGATCTGCTGTAGAGTGCCAAGCACAGACTGGTCCCCTTTGCTTGCTGCAGAGTCGCTGCACAGGAGTGTAGATAGTGGAATTGTCATTTTTCCCTGACTGCTACAGCATTCAGTGCTGCTGAAACACAGAAACATCTGCCTCTGAAGGAGGTGAAACCTGTCCCCAAAACAAGACTTGACTTTACCAGGAGTGGCATTTGGCCCTGTATGACAGTTTCCATCGTGCCAAACTGGGTGTGCTGTGGCAGTGGAGTAGTGACGAGTATGTGATGCCAGTGATGCTAAAATCCACCCTCACCACTGGCCAGCACAGAGCCACCACATCCTACTCACTGCCACCAGAAGGGCACAAGCCCCACAGGTCCAGAACTAGCCCTAATGGGCAAAACTCACTTCAAGATTTGCCAAAAAAAAAAAAAAAAAAAAAAAAAATCAATATATTCCATTTGGCTTTGGCTGGAGATTGCTTTTAAGAAGCAAATGATTAAAATATAGACATTGATGTACAATAAGGGAAACTAAATCCTTTAATGACTGAGCTTCCTGTACATCTCTGCCAGCTCCTGACCATCCCAGAGGCTAATAGGCTGAAAGTAAACTTGTTGCATATTGCC